CACCCCGGACTAAATTAAGGGTCGTTCCGGTCGACGTTTTTTGCCATCGGCACTCTTCGATTTTTTTCGATCTCGCTTGATCCGCCGGGAATGTCTACTATATTGTATTTCTTCTCTATTGTTGATTTGTGTCGTTTAATCGATTCTTCGGTTCTCATACATCTCGAGAAGTGGTAGCTCTCGGGAAGGTGAAACACGAGTTAGGCTTTACGTTGATTTAAATAATCGTTTAATTAATTCGCCATAGTCCAGGGTTAATTTATTTTAATCTAGAGATTGGAGAAAGCGATGGATTGGCGCATTGATTCTTCTTCTTTTTCTTTGATTTTTGGTCCTTGGATAGCTTTCGAACTTTTCATGTATCCCGGCGCACACGTCAAGGGATTTGGCCCAAATGGATTAAAATGATCTATTTAGATAGAGACAGATAACTACCTGTTTGCGTCTCTCTCTCTCTCTCTCTCTCTCTCTCTCTCTCTCTCTCTCTCTCTCTCTCTCTCTCTCTCTCTCTCTCTCTCTCTCTCTCTCTCTCTCTCTCTCTCTCTCTCTCTCTCTCTCTCTCTCTCTCTCTCTCTCTCTCTCTCTCTCTCTCTCTCTCTCTCTCTCTCTCTCTCTCTCTCTCTCTCTCTCTCTCTGTGTGTTACGATGCATTGTTCTTTCAGTCTCGCCCGTGCCTAAAAACGGTAGCAACAATGCGGAGGAATAATCGAGGCCCGTATTCCCGCATAATGATTCACGGACCGTGAATAGAGAATAGTCATTAAGCCGCACTGCCGATGTCATTGCACCCTAGAGATCCTAGAGGACGCGTGCACGGGCGCAGCCGAAGGGAAGGCGCAGACGAAAGTTGGAAGTACACGTAGACGGCTGGAACTCTGTCGTCTGGCGTCCGGCCAGAAATCTTCGTGGCTCATCTTCGGCCTCGTGTTCATCCCTCATTCTCCGCTGGACACGGAGCTCGTCCGCGGAAGAGAAGACGAATCTTTCTTCTGCTTTCCCGCCGATGCCGCGCCTTCGCGGAAGCGCGCATGTCCCCGTCATCGTGCTGCTATTCTCGAAATCCGACAGTTTTACAGGCTCTTCCGTTTTCTTCCACGCGCGCGGGTCCTAGGCAACGTGTTCCTCCAAAGACGATTGGACGATGGCGGGACTTTGATTATTATTCCATAATGTTTGCGCGGCCGCTAATGCCCGGCGATATCGCGCCGAATCTTTCCAGCGGCTACACGACGCGCGTGTGCCGCACGAGGTTTTCACCCCCGCAGTGTGAATTACGCAAAGTTGCAATTATGACGCTGTCATAACGCAAATAAGTTTCGACATGTTTGTTAAATTTAAGCCAAGAGAGCCATCGCTAAAGATGACATCGCGGTCTTGCGACCACAATTGCCAGATCCAGATTTCAGCTGGACAGTTCAGATTTTACCGTCAATGTTCAGCTGTCCTAGCTAATATTAAAACCGTCCGAATCACTAAATACTTCTCCTATCGGTATGTTCTTCAAAAAATATGTCTCCACAAACTACATTCGCAGTTCTCTTCGGAAGTTCTTCTCCGGAAGTCTGTTCCGATCTTTCGGTTTCCAAATTTGGCAACCCTATTTGCGGCCGCTTACTCCCCTGACTCTGCTACCTCCGTTACTTCGATCGTTACTTGAAATGTTTGATCACTCTTCTCGATAAGCGTCACTCGATGCGCCCGTTGTCGGCCGCGAGATGAAATCAGCGAGGGAACGTCTGACTTTGAGAAAAGTTCGCTGAGAGGGGAGGGAGATGCGTCTCGCTTTACGAGCTTCTGGATTCCGATCTTTTCGGCTTACCTTGTCGCGCCTCGCGGATGGCCGTGGAATAGAGGAGAGGTGGTTTACCCGAAGAACACGACAGCTGCATCGAGCCACCAGCCTGAAAATAGCACGGCAATCCCATGCCGAGGCCGGAGGAGAGACGAAAGAGTCGAAGCCCTCTCTCACTCTTTCTCTTTCTCCATCTCTCCCTCCCTCCCGCCCTGCGACGTCTTTGTATATACCCCGGCCCGCTAAAAAGCCGCCCACCTACGAGCCTTTTAAATAGCGATCACATGTTTTTCCTTTTTTTCCAGCACGCAGAAAGTACTCGCCGCGCGCACGTTGCCATCGCGGCGGGTGCGGGAGGGTAGGAAGGGGGGGCACGTGGTGCTGATTTATAGGAGGAACCGAGCGTATCCGGATACTTTACGAGACGACACACGATACACTCGCGCTTTTTCACCCTAAACGATCCCGCCGTCCCGCGGAATCATCCTTAATGACCTGGCACCCTTGTCGTCGACGAAAAAACGCCGCCCTCGTGCTTATCCATCTTTCGGAGGGGCGAGGATTACTCGAGAAAATCCCCTTCTTCAAAGTTTCCCTCGGCATAATGAACTTACGCGTGAACCGCATTCGCGACATACAAGCTGTTAAATTACGATTAATTTATCTGTATCTAGTTGATCGCACACATCACTAAGATTGTCGTTAAAGCTATTTCCTTCCCGACGCTCTTAATCAATTTAATTTCAGTTTTCACTTACTACCTATCTCACTCATCGCCGTGTCGTACTTTATATCTCTTTACATTTCTCTTTATATTTCTTTATATTTCTCTCTATTTGCTTCATCGGCGTCCTTAGGCAAATTCCGTTTGTTCGCGACGCCGTGGACCGCCGAGTGTCTTCTTCCGCTCTTTCGTTACCTGCACACGTGGTCGCGGTCGCGATTTATCCGTCAAGACTTCCTCCCTGCCGCCGTCTCTGTCGTCGCGTATCTCCTCCTCCGCACCTGGAGGCGCTCCAACAGCGTCGAAAATACGCGACTCGCGTTGGTGGGCGCGCAACACCTTTGGGCACCTGTAGGATGCGCCGGATAAAGCGCGTAGAGAGCCACGAGGTGTTCTATCGGTGCCGGTTACGTTAATGGATGATCCGCAGCGGTCGCGACGGCGGGTGGCACGGCAATCTGTTGTCGACGAGTTGCGTCAGTGGCGGAGACGCTCTCGCTCGCTCGCTCGTTAGCTAGCTAGCTCGGAGCTCGTGACTTTATTTTTGGCTGTTCGACGACGATACCGTCGACGATTTACGATATTGCCACCGAGACACCTGTTCCGCGACTACCATCGAGAGCTTTCTTACGATCTGAAGACTCAGCTTCTTACGATCTGAAGACGCAAATCGTTCTCCCTCACTAAGACGCTCCGATGTACAATGTTTCGATCTTTTTCCCTCGCCCAGAAGAATCCGGAACATCTTCTTCTTTATTGCGTGGAAATGAGACGCGATGAAATAAATATGTCGGACAATAGTTGACTAAGTCATGGGGGTTCTTCTCGCTAAGTCGCAGAAAGATTGCGAATTTCTTCAGAGGAAATATGTATGAATTTTAATAAAACTGCAAATATGAAGACTGTCAGGTTTTTTTTTAACGAGTCAGATATATCGGGAAAAAATGATCGGGAAAAGATATTGATCAACTATTAATAAAGAAAAATGAGTTTTTAAAATAAGAGTAAGAAGTCAATATTTGTTCCAATTTAGACAGATGTGTCATCAGAAATGGAAATGAAATAATCTATGGAGATGAAATAATCTATTTCAAAGCAGAGACTACATGTCAATTTTCCTCTTCAACTAAGATATTTAACGATGGCAAATAATAACTATTAAAAAAGATGACGTTAATCAACTTTATGCTGAGGAAAACCCACCTCGTCTTCGTTAAAGAGAAGCGCGCGTCGTCCGCGGAAAATCCATCATATTCGAGAATATTTGTTGGATACACTTGAGTTTGCGGATATTTCAGCATGCCAAAGGCAGAGTAGGTTTCAGGAAAATCAAAGCCCGCCACCGGCTTCCTTCCTGTTTTCTTTTTCTAATCGGCTTACGAGATGCGCGCTTCGCGCAAAGAGAAAGAGACTACACAGGCAGCCAGGCAGTTAGGCAGGCAAGCAGGCAGGCAGGCAGGCAGGCAGGCAGGCAGCGGTGGCTTTTTGGTCGACGATTGAATGAATGCCACGCGAGTTAGTCAGCGTCGCGGTGCTAAATTCGGCGGACGCCTGGCGTCACGCCAGAAGAACCACCCAGCGCACCAACCTGCTCCTACCCTGTAACCGCCAACGAAATGGCGCCGTTATCATATCTGTTCGCCATCGTCCTTCGTTGAAATAACGCTCAGCCAAACCGGCGCGAGCGAAGTCGATTCTGTTGAAATCACTGGTGACGTTTGGAGGGGGGGGGGAGGGCAAGAAAACACCATTTTCTTTTATTCTTTTACTCCGTTCCTCGCTTTATCGCGCATTTCCGCGTTTAATAGAAGAAAGCGTATAGAACTGCGAAAAAATCTGCCCTAATGTCGTCATTATAGTCAATTTTAATTTAATTTATGATATACAGCTGACATAAGTATGCACAGTTGAAATAATTTAATTGACAAGTGATTATTATTTCTTTTTCGACGAGTGAACTCTTCCGTGCCGAAAGATGATCGAAATATAGTCTCCTCGCAGGTTAAATCGTTAAATCGCAAAAAGGATTGATGTACTCACGAACGCGTGTTGCATAATACGCGGAACTCATTGATTCTCGCTCTCTATTCCTCCCTTCTCTTTAGTCTAATAACGGGTCCGATAATCGTCGGACAACTTGTCGAGAGGACAGGGTGGTTAAGCAACCACCCTGCGTGAGCCGCGGGGCTGGCGTGTGTGTACCTCCTACGGCCGGCCGTCCGCTCTCCCGCGGCCGCACGCACTCTCGACACGCGTGTCGCATATTGCCGACACACGAACGGGACCACCACACGTGCGGGAAACCGGGCGGGCACGCTTCTGAGCGCGTGCAGCTGAAGACGAAGAAGAAGACGGCGACGACGACGACGACGACGACGACGACGACGACGACGACGACGACGACGACGAAGAGCGCCACGGCGGTGGCGGTGGCGGCGGCGGCGGCGGCGGCGGCGGCGGCGGCTGAGGCTGCGGTGGCAGCGGCGGAGGGCGAGGGAGGCTGCGCTGCTATATGTAGCCCCGAATCTTAGCCGGGGCAACTATTGCGCCCGAAATTGCCGAAGCGAACGCAACCCTTGCGAGCGCCACCCAACATCCATATGTACATGCGCCTCCAAATCAAATTGTAAACCTCCCTCTCTTCACGTCTCGTGATCTACTTGTCCCGTTGTTGCGTATTATCAGCCACGCCGGCGACAAGTAATCGGTACCGCGCGAGTGATGGTTTGTGCGTCTTGAATTGATAAGTATGATTTGTTGTGCGCCCTGAAGAGAGAGAGAGAGAGAGAGAGAGAAGAGAGAGAGAGAGAAAGAGAGAGAGAGAGAGAGAGAGAGAGAGAACGACCGAGAAGACGAGGAAGATGCCGCGGGCGTTCCTGATTACGCATCGCAGGTATAACGGTGCTGAGGAAGAGCTCGGAAGATCCGAAAAAGGTACGTTACTAGTGGGAGTGAACGACGCAACTTTGATTAAAAAAAAGGCTGAGTGTGTTTGGTAAATTATAGTAAACTTATTAGTTGATACTTGACGATTGAAAGGGGGCAGTTTTAGCTGTTGAAATGTAGAAAAAAGATTTCTGAACCCATCGATAATAATGCTAATAATATTAAAATTTTTTAATCTATATTGGCAATCGGAATTTAGAATTGTAGTTCAATGTAATAATTTCGACTAGTAAGCGTGCATTAATTTAATTCATTATTTTTTGTGATAAAGAGAAGAAATGGATATTCTTGCAGACTCACAAAAATAAGATCTATGATTTTACAAAAATTCAATTTGTCAAAAATTAGACCTGTTTAATATTTCTTCTAAATTAATATTCAAAGTCCGTGTTATAATATTTATAAACGTTACATAGAATAAAGGGAATTATTACACATAGGCTCATGTGAAATTATAATTATAACGTGATATCAATTTGTCAGCTCTCCCTAGAAATGTGTCATAATGTTAATGCCGATTGTAACTTTGCGAATAAATTTTTCACCTGCGTGAAACAAGTTATCCTAATAACTAAGACAATCCATCAAATTCTGCGAGAAACGCTGGATGCAAAATTTGTCGTAGAAGAATAATTCGCGAGGTCGCGTTTTAATTTTTGCATATTGTCTTCATCAATCAAGCATTCCCTCATCCCTTACCCCCTTATTCTCTCTCTCTCTCTCTCTCTCTCTCTCTCTCTCTCTCTCTCTCTCTCTCTCTCTCTCGCCCTTCTGAATTCAAGCCAGGAAAATCCGTTGGTCGTTGCTTCGTGATTAAGGTGGTGGCTCGCGCGGATTTAAGAATAGGAGACGCTAGATGCGTCACCAAGACGCATACCGTCGCGATGCCGTCAACCCCACCGAGGCAGCAGACCTCCTTTACTAACGCAACGCGTATGCACGTACATGTACTACGAAATACGCAAAATAAACGGCAACGATGCGGTAGAGAACGGCGGGCGTGCGGGGGTTGGTAGCGGGGCTACTCTATTTCCGTTCTCCCCGAAAACGGAGCAGTCAGCGAGCCCCCCGAAGGTGCGTCGTGTTTTACGAGCCGCGTCGACGCCGGATTTCCCTCTGCTTGCTTCCTCGGAATCTGCCCGACAACTTGAGAGATGTTTGCAGAAAGATACGACAAAATAGCAGACTCTTATTGACAATCAAATATAACTTTTCATTGTGCTTAAAAAGCATCGGCCGATTACATTGCTGGGAATTAATTTATTTTAGAAACTTGACTTTTTAATTCAAGAGCGATAGCAATTTTTATAGTGCAATATCTCGACGAAAATAGACAATGTCATGTTAACATGAAAGTCACATCATTAAATTACATTAAATAAAAAATGTAATGATATAAGAGACAGAGAGAGAGAGAGAGAGAGAGAGAAAGAGAGAGAAACCTCTGATTTACTTTAATGTCAATTAAAAATGAATACTTATCAATTTGATTATTTTTTCTTCCCTTCCGTATCTGCCATAAAGATATTCTATGAAGAAATAGCAAATATCTCAAGCTAAACTTCGATTCGATTCGAGTTGTTTGCCATAGCAGGTATGTCGTACCGTTCATTACCGAAAAAATTGCTAACCATCTGGAAGCGCCGATTTGAAACGGCTCTTAAGAGTCTCATAATCCCGAGATGATCTCCTAAGACGCCTTCTTGGTTCTCGCTTAGATCTCAGTTCCGAAAGAAGCTCGAGGCTGACCGATTACAGCGGCGGTCAGCCAACTTCCGATGGCGCCAGCGAGTGCGGCAGCGAGACGTCGTCCGAGTGCCCCGAGGAGCTGTACAATCTGACGAAGTTGGCGGAGGTGAGCCTGGCGGCAGCGGCTGGCACCCTGATCCACCACAGCAATGTCATCTACCAGCGACCGGTGTCTCCCAGAATCGCCCAGCACCCGGAGAAGAGCCGAGCGCTGGCGTCTCAACCTGTCGTACAGACAACTGCGAGCCAAGAGCAGGTTCTGAGCGAGAGGACAAGGCTCTTCCTCGAGAGGATCGAGACCGAGCGGGAGAAGCTGGAGGGTCGCTGCGAGGAGAACACCGCCTTGGGAATTCGCCTTGGGACGCCGCGACGCTCCACCTGCTCACAAGAAGAACCGGCTCTGTCAAAGGTGCCGATCGTTCCCAGGATCGGTGTCGACCCGACGCCATCAGTGTTGGTGCCACCAGCGAGTTCCCAAAGTCGACGAACGACCGCGACGGACGCAGGCAAGGCGGAGCAGGACAACGAGGATCACGAGTGTCCGGACTGCGGCAAGAAGTACTCGACCTCCTCGAATCTGGCTAGACACAGACAGACGCACAGGTCGCTGGGTGATAAGAAGGCCAGACGATGCCCGCACTGCGACAAGGTCTACGTCAGCATGCCTGCGTTCAGCATGCACGTGAGGACCCATAATCAGGGCTGCAAGTGCCATTATTGTGGCAAGTGCTTCTCCAGGCCGTGGCTGCTGCAGGGCCACATACGCACGCACACAGGTAAACGCAGACGATGTCTGTTCACGTTGGCCATTCAATCAGCGCGTTTTTCTAGCTGAAACCGGCGAAATCATCGCGTTTGATCATCGCGGTGTTGTTGCTCTCGGCTCTCTTAATTTTAGACAAACGTGCGAGTAATGAGGCTCGTTTGTCCTCCTGCTCCCGCTCAGCCTCTGCGCATTTCCCTTCAACGATAGACGCTACGTAAATAGCTAATACGCAGGCTATTTCTGAAGAGACATGGCTAGTTTAACAGATTTTCAATGAAGATGAATTAAAATTAATCGCCGGTGATGTACTTTTGGCACGCTCAATAATGCGCCACTATTTTCGAGTGCAAATCGTAGATATGTCACGGTGAAATCGCTGACGCGGAGCGATATGTCCGTGTTCCTCAACGCGCCTACCTGCTTTGGGACTGATTGATTGAGTTGTTCAGTCGGCGAAAGGTCAAGTGGGAAAGCGTTGTATCATATATTCATCGGGAGATTCTATTTGCCACTCTCGACTTTATTTCTCGGCCATTTCCTCCGGCTCATATTTTCATACACACGTCCTATACCTTCGTTTCATTTTTAATTTGCAACGTTAAATGCTCCATGTTCCGTTGAGAGTGGTAATTTGTTTGTTACGTGGCACTTGTTACCAAGAGAGAGAGAGAGAGAGAGAGAGAGAGAGAGAGAGAGAGAGAGAGAGAGAGAGAGAGAGAGAGAGAGAGAGAGAGAGAGAGAGCGCTTTCATGAAAAAATCAGAGCCCACGTCGAAGAATTTTCACATTCCCAGCAATTACCTTCTTCTTTCTTCCAGGTGAGAAGCCCTTCAAATGTACCATTTGCAACAAAGCCTTCGCCGACAAGTCGAACTTGCGCGCCCACATACAGACGCATTCAAACACCAAGCCTCACGTGTGTGGTCGTTGCGGCAAAGCTTTCGCCCTGAAGTCGTACCTCTACAAGCACGAGGAGTCGTCATGCATGCGTACCCACCACCGATCGTCCACGGAGAAGCCTGAACAGATTGATCAGCAGATTTCGTCGTCGGCGAAACCGAATGCTCCGCTGTCTTCATCCTTGAGTAGATCGCAAACGACACCGTGCGTCACTTCATCGCCCACCAGCGTCATAGTTCCTCGATTAGGATCCGAGCGAGATCAGAAGAGCTCGTCGTCGGCGTTCTCCGCGATCATCAGGCACACCAGGACGACGGATGTGCCTATGGCGACACCTTCGAAGCGGTCTTGCAGAGAGAGGACACCTTGTCCGGACGATCGCGAAAGGCAAAGTCCGGATTCGGCGATAAAGGACCCGGAATACGTGTCCAGGATGGTCATCAGAACATCAGTGATATCTCCCAATCCGGAGCACTTGCTTCGTTTCGAAAACGACGTTAAGAGTTCTTCGACTACATTCGATTACCCCGACCCGACGAGGCCTTCGGCTTTCTCGAGGCCCACCACGATGACCTTAAACCTAGCTATCGCTTAAGACTCAGTTGATCGATGCTGAGACTTAGACCAAACCGACCATCTTGATGTGTACTTCGCAAAGTTTTACGACAAGGAATTATCTGCAGTCTCGAGACTTGATCGGGAATTTGCTAGTGAGAGATTCCTGACGAAACGAAAATACGATCAGAAAATTAGCCGATAAATGTCTATAACTTGAAAAATTACCAGTACGCAATACCGAAGATGAGACTATAGTTCAAGCATATTCAATTAACGGAGAAGATCTTGACCGACGGAACATTAATGTCCCAGATATTTTCTTCAGACACTGATCTTTTTTAAACAATTAAGAGAGATAGAGATAGAAAGAATCGATCTTTTCACAACAAGAACCTGGTTGAGAGTGGAACACCATATTTTATCAGCGTGTAAAATTTTCTACGATAATTCAATAACGTTGTACATCCTACGCAATCTTGATGACGTTTCTTCAGGCAAGATAACGAGAATTGTCCCGTACAAACGTCAGTTTTTCTTCCCACCGCAGTCGAACGAAGATTACTTCTGGCAATGCTGAAGTTGCGAATTCGCGATTAATCGACCGAGTATATTCGCGCGTGACGATTATTATATTCCAAGCATCTTCCGAATTAGGGACCACCTAGCGATTAGTCGTAATAATAACGTTAAATCTGTAAGCCGTTGTGTTTATAATCTAGCGATCCGTCGACATAAAGTCGTGCCTTACGTAATAAATACCGGACACCGTGTATGCGAGCGTGCAGAATTCGACTTGGTTCGACACAGCTCCGACAGGATTGGCGTGCACGGATTTGCGTAGAAAGAAATTTCCGAGGTGCAAGAGGCCGTCCTGGCGAGAACGTCCGTCAAATGCCAAACGTGTGACCTCACCTATTTAAAGACATAGCGCCATCGTCGTCGCGAGGCGTTGAGCGATTAAAATTGATTATCGACACGAACTGAACCGCAGTGTGCCTTCGCGTTATTGTCTTAGAATTAAATGACAACGAGGGTCGAGGCTCTTCGAGGCAGCTAGCAAAACTCTATGAGATGTACATACGTATAGCGAGTTCCCAAAGTCTAATGAAACCAGAGGTATATGTGCGTGCGTGCGTGCGTGCGTGCGTGCGTGCGTGCGTGCGTGTGTGTGTGTGTGTGTGTGTGTGTGTGTGTGTGTGTGTGTGTGTGTGTGTGTGTGTGTGTGTGTGTGTGTGTGTGTGTGTGTGTGTGTGTGTCGTGTGGTACGCGTGTGCGTATGTGTGCATGTGAAAGTATATCGTTTCATAACTGAACGTAGTCCTGGTTGTCGCTGTCGAAGGGATTTTCGAAAGCGCGATTATGCGTCGGGATGCAGCTGTTGCATCGGGACGTTCTCTAAAACGAAAGCGTGTATCTGTGATTCGGAATTGCGCAACCAGTCAGCTCCAGACGATGCGATCATCCGCCAAAGTATTCGCGTTCGAGTTTGAATATTATGGCTCGGACACCAATGGTGGAGAGCACCTCGTGTAAGGATCGAGTGATGCGTTACCTCGTCATTTTGACACAATGATAATATCCATACACACGTTGACGAATATTGTACAAGCCACGCACACAAGGTACGCACGTCGACTGGACGAGCGCGCACCGTCCAGAACATTGGCATAGGTTGCGCATTTTCCAACGGCGAAAGTAATTATGTATAAATGACGATAAATAAGCTTTCGATACCAAGAGTTTGGTAGCGATCAGAGTGTCGAGCTAGTCGAGCCCGTTTCGCCATCGCGAACGTGATCCGCCGTCGTAGCGAGGCCCTCGGGACCTGCGATTCGCGTCGAAGGCAAATTGTCGCTCGTCAGCGAACGTCCTTCCCGCGGGGATGCAGCGAACGGCAGGGTCATGCGAATTGCGCGAATGGCGGCGGTTATGATAAAGATTTCGCGTAAATGTATGTAAAATAACGTCGCGCGACGACATTGCGATCGTCCCGCGTCCGCCGAGGAATCCGCGCGCGCTCGCGCTTGTATAATTATAGTTGGCGAGCGATTCGGACGTGGCGCGTCCTAGTCATTTCGATTCGATAGATCGCCTGCGGACGAGAATAGAGAGGGAACCCCGATCTAGCGTTAATAACATAGTCGTGTTGACCGCACGTTGTAAATAGCATTCCCACTTTTACGTTTTTAGAATTTAGACGCGAGATGCCAGCGAGGTGCCAGTCATTTTTAGATAGCTCGATTTTATTACACCCGTCGTATGTATTGTATGTACCACTACTTGTACATCGGAGTGCCTACGCCAAAAAAAAGCAACATTTACCCACTCTTTTTTACGAATTATGAAAGTCTTGTCTATCGTAACGAGAAAATATACGAGATGATACATGTGTATATTTTCCTTGTCATTTCCCGCTTCTCTTCACGTCAACCGTGTGCGTTATCCGACGCGCCGTCGTCACATGTTAATCCGAAGAAATTGAATTGATATGCGACAACGAAGCCAAGTCGGACGATGAAGTTGTATCGTGTTCCTTCGGAAGTCGTGTCGAAGTAATTTAATTCCCCGTACCTATCGGATTGCAATACGCGCATTCGCATAAAGCTTTCCGTTCAACTCGCGCGCCTCGCTTTTTCACTTATTGAACCCATTATCGCGCCGATGAACCGTACGGCCATTAGCCACGCCTGGTAGTAGGATAAACAACGGCTAACTGTGCCTAACAAATAGATTGGACTTAATAATTAGGGCAACGAAGGCGAAAGTGACCAACTGACAAACGATATGCACTTATGTCTTCGGATATAACTGCGGGAACTCTCACGCATTCATTGTCGCAAATCGACACTCATCAATAAATCGCGCAATTTTGATTGTCAAATTTTCGTCATCTGTCGTTCTGATACTTAGCTCAGGTAAGTATTTTAGCCAGTATTTTGTGAAGAACGAAGTGAATCATAGAATAATGAAATACAGTATATATGTAGATGATACAGTAGAATAATGATACATATAATATAGAGAATACGCACAATAAATAAATACTTCCGTAAGGTTGAGCTTCGCGACTTTGGTTGGAGGGAGACTCTTCATCTGTCGCGGGATATTCGTCTATTCTTCCTCTACTAGTAACCTCTTAATTAAGTTTCTTCTTTTTCTCATATGCAACACGATGATACCTCGAGTCGGCGAGAGCCGCTCACGAGCCGCGTATCTTTCGGTAACGAGATCCACAGTGACAAGATGAGTCTAAACGAGATAACGTGATACATACGAGCGTTTATACGCACTTATATCACGAGACGCGTATACTCGCACTTCCCAGAACTTCTTCCAGCGATTTCTCCTCCCGCCTCGCATTCACATAGATCCTTACGGTTCCCAACGGCACTCCGTGGGACTGACTATGAGACCAAAGAAGAGACGTAGAGGAAGAAGCGAATAGAGCCAGTGGGAGTCAGAGCCGCGAGGCATCTAGCAGGGTTGAATTGTCGTCCGGACATCAGTCGTGAAGATCTCATTCAAGGTTCGAGCTATGCGGCCGTACCTCGTCATTTTGATCTTCATCGCGAGCACAGTACTCGCGCGATACCATGTAAGTTTCCCCCGAAAGTTTTTAGTTCTCTATTTTCACTGAGAGTTTTGTCACATAACGTCGCTGAAGCATCTGTGCGGCTATGTGTGCGATCGTGTGTGCGTGTGTTTGATCTCGAAAATCATTATAAATTTAAAATAATGCTAAAAATAAAATTCTTCAGTCAGTTCGTTCTTTATCATAAATTTTATATTAAATCATATTTCATGATCTTTTTACTAAATCCGGCAAGAGATTCTATAAGCGTACTGGCTTGCAACCATTAAAGTTGCTTATTTATGGCAATTAATAACATCAATTAATAACATCAAATACTCTCGGGAAGCGATGAAAAGAAATTTTTGATTATAAGATTAATCCAGTGTAAGATCAATCGCGAATTTTGTAAAAGGTAAACCTTAAACGTTGATTAAATGTCATGCGAAATAATTGATAACTGTTTATCTCCCTTTTCTAAAATTTCCTTACCGTATTTCGCGTGATGGTGTGAAATTCAGCGAATTACTGGCGCATCATTTATGTGCGACGACAAATGCAGAAATGCGATCTCTTACTGTATATTTGAGTGACACTACTTGATATTTCGTTCACTACGTGATCGTTGTGACATTATATATACATAGGTATATTGCTATCATGCTAAACGTGAAAAAAATAACGTTTTGAAAAATAATTTGTCGCAAAATCTAAAAGAGAAAAATTGTAACGATTTCTATCCTCGTATGAAGATTGAGTATCAATTGAATTTACGTTTTCAATCATTTAGAATTGAATATTATTGCCAAATCTGCTATGTGTGCTCTAATTATACTTTGCTATAGCAGGTTATTGGCACAGGTCATATGCTAATGCATACGACGAGAGAGACCGTTTAAGAGAGATTTGGAGGTCAAAGTTCACATGATAATGGTACACGATAAAGACAGATTCACATGAGGCATTTATGAGATAAGGACAGAATAGACGATAGGAAAATAGCTTAGCTCATTCTTCATATCTCTTTCCACCCCCTTCCGTCAGTACGGAAACTTCTTCGATGCAACTTGCACATGATACAATTTAGAACAAAAGTCGGCAGTTGTAAAATATAAACAAGATGTTTTATTTTATTTATTTTATTTTTTATTTTATTTATTTTTTTGTTTTATTTATTTCATTTTTCTCTTTTTCTAGAAGAATGCACGTTACGAACAATTGATGACTAATAATGATATTTTTAGGAAAAAACGCGTTTTGACCGATCTATTCACAATGAGGAGGAAGTAAGGAACACAGACAACGATAATTCTAAAAAGAAATGGTCTTTTACCGATGATATAACAGTACGAAATTACCTATCAATAGTAGTAATTATATTATAGAATGTAGATTAAAAGAATCTTTTTGAAAACAGCAATTCGTCGCATACAAGAGTAAGAAGGACAACGAATGTTACCTTGAGGATATAAATCAAAATAACGATGTACTGCGTACGAAGCAGCAAACGAAAGTACTTTATGCATCAACAATTCTTACAAAACTGGAGGTAATAGGACGAAGACTTTATAAAACATGACATGTTTTATATAAATTTGTCTTACAATTTGTCTGTAATATTCTCGCTATAAATAGGCATGGCATCTCGCTGGAGGCCGCATCGTCGACTTTTGCAATGGACGAAGCTTCATTTTACTACAAGCAAACAAACCTGTACCTGGACAAACTCTGGATCCCTTCCTGAATGAAATTCCAGTAGACGAAAACATTTTCCCAAGACGAGTGGCTGATGTGGTATTAACGCCACTCATAAGTCGCACGAAAAGAGAAATTCAATTGGAGAAACGTGAGAAGCTAAATAAAAGATTCGGCCAATTTCGTCAACGCCGACAGACAAATCAATTTCGAGGAAAATTTCGCGGTCAAACACAATCTCAATATTTAAACGTCGGTAACGGGCAGGAAAAGGAGGGCAAAGCGGAAGCTGAATCTACTCAGCAATCTTCGCGCGCAGTAGTCAGTATGTACCCCTTTACGTTCACAAGAGAGGAATTATATATTATAAATCGCACGAATTTTTTCAACAGAAAAAGATTAGTTGTAGTGTTTTGAAAATTTGCACATATGTTTAAATACCTGAAGTATCCTTTTACAGGTGGTAGTCGTGGTATGGGACAAGCGCAAAGTATGTCGTCAGGTGGTACCGGTTGTGAAGACTGCCCTGGATATCCAGGTTTCGAGATTCCAGATAAGTTACGAATTCCATCCGCAAATGGTGATAAATATGTGCCTGGCGTAGGTATCATGCGTCCTGGAACAGGAATTGTACCAGGAGGTGTACTTTATCCTGGTAGAATTACCCCAGGTGCACAAACAACATATCCAGGTGGGATAGTTCCTGGAAGAGTTGGAACTTATCCTGGTGTTCTTCCTGGAACTAGACCGGGAACTTATCCTGGAGGTATTCAACCAGATGTCATAACGCCAGGAAGAGATGGAATGTATCCCGAAGGCGTTCGACCTGGAGTTGTTCAGCCTGGAGGCGTTCAACCTGGAGTTGTTCAGCCTGGAGGCATCCAACCTGGAATTGTAAGCCCTGGAGGTGTTCAATCTGGAGGTGTTCAACCCGGAGGTGTTCGACCTGGAATTGTTCAGCCTGGAGGCGTACAGCCTGGAGGCGTACAGCCTGGAGGCGTTCAACCTGGAGTTGTTCAGCCTGGAGGCATTCAGCCTGGAGTTGTTCAGCCAGGAGTTGTAAGCCCTGGAGGTGTTCAGCCCGGAGGTATTCAACCTGGAATTGTTCAGCCTGGAGGTGTGCAGCCTGGAGTTATAAGCCCTGGAGGTGTTCAGCCCGGAGGTGTTCAGCCCGGAGTGATTTTTCCAGGAGGTGTGCAACCTGGAGTTGTTCAACCTGGAGCTATTCCTCCTGGAGTTATTCAACCTGGAGTTGTAAGTCCTGGAGGTGTTCAACCTGGAATTGTAGGTCCTGGAGGTGTTCAGCCTGGAGTTGTAAGTCCTGGAGTTATCCAGCCTGGAACTGCGATACCAGGAGGTGATGGAATATATCCAGGAGGTGTTCGTCCTGGAATAGTGATACCAGGTGGCGATGGTATATATCCAGTTGTTCGTCCTGGAGTAGTTACACCAGGTAGAGATGGAAAATATCAACCTGGAATCACGGGAGGGCCGGGAACATATCCCGGAGGTGTTCAACCTGGTATTCAACCCGGACAAATTATCTATCCTACTGCTGGTGTTACCACGTCAGTAACAACGGGTGCTACGATTACTGGCACTGGAATTTATCCAGGTAGTATAGCACCCGGAACAAGTCAACCAAGCGGAATATACATAGGAGGTACCCTACCAATCGGAACAGGTGAAACTTATCCTGGAACTGTATCAGGAACTTACCCTGGTGCCGTCGTCCCAACAGGAATAGCAGGTCAAGGAGTATACCCTGGTGGTGCACAGCAGACTGGCGCACTTTATCCCGGAGGAGTTGCGACTGGTATCATACCAGGCAGAGACGTCACCTATCCAGGATCCGGTCTCGTTCCTGGCATGGTTCCGGGTACAGATTCAGTAGCTGGTACTGGTACGCAAGTGACAAGTTATCCAGGCGGCCGACCAACAGACGGTCAAGTGATTTATCCAGGTGCTGGAGGTGTCATTCAACCTGGTAGGATTCCTGATGGAACAGGTGTTAGTCAAATCACATATCCAGGTACAAGCACATATCCTGGAGGTGGTCAAGTTGTATATCCTGGTGGCATACAGCAAGGTATACCTCCCAGTGGTACTCTGTATCCCGGTCAACAAATTTATCCCGGCGATGGTAGACAAGTGGCAACATATCCAGGCGGACTGTATCCAGATACAGATACAGGAATCTCGAGACCAAGTGTCTCAGGAGGAACGGTCATACCAGGAGGAACCCAGTATCCAATCGGTACAGGAGGTCAAACAATATCTGGTGGAGCAGGGGTCGCTCCTGGACAGTATCCTGGTCAATATCCAAGCATCGGTCAAGGAGTAGGTGCACCTTATCCAGGAGTAGGGAGGGTCACAGATGTTGGTGAAGCTGGTGTGACGGATGACGGTGCCGAGTCGCAGGCTTCAAGTTCAGTACAGCAAGAAGGCTCGGGTACACAAGCGAGTGCTTCAGCTCAAGGTAGATATGGTCAGGGCACGGCCCAATCGCAAGTGACGGGTATCTATAGTGGCTCCGGCACTTTCTCCGCTCAGGCTGGTACCAGCGACGCTAACAAAAGCGCTCAAGCAGAGGTCAGTGGTGGTAAAGAAGGTGCTACCAGCAATGCGCAAGGTATAGCTGGTTATGGGAAGAGTCAAGCGCAGGTTCAGCTGAATTCCGACTCCGGAGCTACTTCGACAGGCGCTCAGAGCAGTGGTTGGAACCATGGTACCAATTCTCAGGTGCAGGCGAGTTCCAAGGGCGGAATGGCAGACGCTCAGGCTAACGGCGAAGGTAACACGTCCAGTCAGGCACAGATCGGCTTCCAGCCGTATCTGAAGACCGACGAGAAGCTAGAAAAACATGCGTCACCCTTCCGTGGCAGTGGAACAGCCTCGGCTCAGAGCGGTACTCACAGGGGCCAATCTCAGTCGCAACTGCAGGGTGCTTTTCAATACGGAATCACTTACACCGGTGCGGCCCAGGCCGGTTCCGGATCAGGCGTTGCGTCTTCTAGAAAGCCTTTCAACTTCAGCCTCCCTGAGACTGAACTTTTCAAACCATTTAAGCCGCAGGCTCCTCTAAAAAAACCGACGAACGTCGATAATTCTCAACCGAACCAATCAGCTTCCAGCCCGGACTACGAGAATAGACAAGACGATCACGAACAAGGTCTACAGAGTAGCTCGACTTCAAGACAAACCGTCGTCATAGGTGTGAGAAACAATCCAGAGGATTCTGCCGACAAGAAAGTGCTGGCTACGGAGAAGCAACGAACAGACGACACGATGTATGACGAGTACGACGATGATTACGGAGATGAGTACTACGACAGCACGGCGACGTCAACGTCGACGGTGACAACGACAAGCCCGATGAATAACGGTGCGAGAGCTTTCACACATCAGCGCGGCAAAATCAAGACTGCTCAGCGACAAAGTCAGCAGACGCAAATGACGCAGGTGATCAAAGACGACAGATACGACGTTCATGTTAGCCAAGACTCACCTCGAACGGGCGACGTCCTGCAGCCAGGACAATCTCTGATGGGATATACGATACCGCCTGGTTTTCGTGGCAGAGTAATGTCGATCTCAGGTACCGAGACCATTGCTCAGGGTGATGGTAAGTCACAGTCGCAGACCGTGTCTTTAATACCGAAGAATTCCACGAGCACCAAGCCGTCGGCCACGGAGACCAGGTCGCTTCAGACCAGTCACGAACGTCACGTCGAGCGTCATACGTCGAACAGTAAGAGTCAGGCTGGCCCTTCTTCCGGCCAAGCTGCAACCTCGGACAAGCACATAAAACCCTTATCGACTTCTGTAACTATAAAACCGAGTTACTATACCGTAAGCAACAGCGTCGCCGGCAAGATGAACGGTAATAACGCGCAAAAACAGTATGAGCATCGTTACTATACCAAGAGTTCTACCTGCGGATACTTCACGTTTTCCTGCAACGTTGTGTACGGCTCTAACGGTAGGACGAAAATTTGCAAGCCGAAAGCACCGACGTATCCGGACGGCACACCTATGAGATGTTGAGCAGCCAAAATACTCACAGAGGGAGAGAGAGAGAGAGAGAGAGACAATATGTCGATCATTATGTTCTATAATCGATTCCGCAAAGCATCTCTTGTTCTGAATCGTCCCGTTTCCGCTCGTCGTACGTGACTTGCTTCAGTTGTAGAAACCAATTAATCGCTTTCGCACGCATATTGACACTGTAACTTATTCTATCTGCAAATTCAATACGATTCCACTTCCTGGCAGCTTAGTGCCAGTCGTGCGTAAACATAAGAATTAAGCAAATACAACAGAGAGACGTCTCGATTTTATGGATTGGTAATCCGAGTGTGTAAACTTTCAAATCCATAATATCGAAGATTCATCGTACGTATCATATATACTCTGACATTATAAGTTTATTTTTTTTATTGAGATATTTCCAAAATTGATTGTATAGTGTGAACATGTTGCTACATCAATCGCTGCTATTTATTAAGTTTCTATCAATAAAATACACTTTACTCAAAAGCAAAAATTCTCTTTTGATCCTTTCCTCATAGTAGTTAGGAAAGATAATTAACAATAATATTCGATTTGTCGTAGTATCTGTGAAGATTTGTTCGAATGTTGTCTATTGCATTATTCGCATGTAATATTCTTGTGGTATACGCACGTAGATTATTGTTCTAGTTTACGTTCCATATAGATTTTCGATATTGACATAAAAGGTTCAATTATAAATATCAGGTATCGTATCTTGTACATATTGTATTTTGCTACTCGGTTTCGTCAGTCTTTTTTCGGGTGACGAAACATGGTTTCATTATATGTATTATATATGTATATGTATGTGTCGTGAATATATACAATATTTCTTTACACCAGTCTAAAAAAAAAGAAATATAAAACAATAAAAGGCGAAATGTGAGCTGTTTACAAAAAGCGTATCAATGAGTAATGAAAGGGAGAAGTGCATATTTATAATTTATATAAAAGTAAAAAACGAATATGAGTGACGATGAAATGAATATCTACAGAAAGTACAATGGTGATGGTGAACACAATTTTACGTTTGAATACATATAATTGAATATAAGAGGCAGTAAATACTGCTTGACCACTGACATAAGAAGAATATAGACGGTGCTTTTACTAGGGCTATTTTAAGGCTTTATTACTCTCCTCACGATGGAGAACAGCGACTCTAATTTTAATATTTAGATAATGAACATTAAAATACACAGAAGGTATGTTTGAACTACACTTTCTACGTTTAAGGTGAAACATAAAAGGTAAAATTTAAAATCAAATAAGAAAAGAATAAAATGAGATTTATTAAGATCAATTTATTACGATCATTAAGTGACGATCTTTTTCTCATGTTAAGAATACTCATGTTAAGAATAATTTACCTTTCTTCTCCAATTACAAAATCTTAAAAAGTGGATACAAAGTCCCGAACTTCGAAGAGTAGAATAATGTCTTGGAAAGCTCTAATTATAAAATTTCTCGAAACAATATTCTAATATACAACTTTCCCGAGACATTACGAAAAATGTGATATCCTAAAACACTATTAATTCAAAATCAATCGATAAAAAAGAATTATCTTTGAATATCTTTAGCACGTATCATAAAGTGAACTAAAGGAAATTGAAACGCGATACAAATGAATAATGCACCTGAATATACCTTAACGTCTATATATATTCTTACGCCGATGGTAATGATTTATCGATGTGCCGAAGGTACGTCTACGTAGATTATAATAATAAGAAATATCGTTGCAAAGTCAAGCGAGCATCGTAAATCGTAAAAGTTAACGTTGGTGCTTCTTCACCAATTTTTCTGATAATCTTGCAATGTAGACGGACCTTTGTCGACCGACAAGTAATTAAAATTGTATATTACGTCAATGTACTATCAGTTATCTATACACATGTACATATATGCTATTGGAAGTACTGATGCTTTAAATTGGTTGTTAAATACCACAATAGGCACTCACGACGTTTACCATACTACGTGTACAATTTGATTATTTAAATGCCGAAGCACTACATCTATTATGAGGAGTCAAACATTAAAAAATAAAACTGTCATTAAATATTTTAGGCCTGCTAGCATATCACTTGTCTGATTTGCGTTTTCGTTGATTTGGATCAAACATCATGTCATTGCCATCAACACGAGCGAATACTAGGCTTTCTGTTTATTGTAAACTGAAACAATATATAAAATTTTCTTTCCTTTTTCCCTATATTTTATACCGCAAAATTTTTGAAATTAAATTTAAAAGCGACATTATTATCTAAATTAAATTCCAAATAGAATTTGGATGCAATTTAGAAACTATTAGCTATCATTGTTCTTCTTATTCAAAAGCACATCGACTAAATTAGTAACATACCCTCAGCGGATTCACCGGAATTCTTAGCTTGGAACTTTTCTTCTTCTACTTGTTCCATTCCAGCATCCGCTGTACACGACTCACTATTGCTAATAAAACGTTTCTCTTCAAATCTACTGTAGGAGATTACGATACAAGTGGAATTTCAATTGCAATAAATCTGCTCACCTGTTTCTAAAATGCTCCAGTTGCACATTTGCAGATTCCAGTTGTTCTACGAGATTTTCGTTCCTACGCTGTAACTTTCGTATGCTATTTGTGGCAGCATCGACTTCGTCTTGAGCAGCGGCCAGCTCTTTCTTCAACTCTTCCACTCTACCTCTTATTCGCTTCACCTCCGCCTCGTACTGTTCAGATCGTCTTATAGCGTGCGATAATTCCGTTGCTTTCTCTGTTAGAGATTGCTTCAATACCGCCTGATACTGCTTCATCTCGAGCAATACCTGCAATTATCGCCAAGTTATAACATCAATCCCGAAAGTACACTTAATTTAATATTCAGTTATGATACGAACCATATTGCGAACTATAAGTTCTTGCTGCAATTGCCTCGTGTCTGCATCAGTCGTAGATACCGGACGTGGCCGTCGTGACTCTATTCTTTCTTGTAAGTCATGTATCTTGAGCCGCAGCTGTTTGTTTTCTCGTTCCAGAGAAATCTTCTCAGTCTCCAGTCTCTCTCGTTTACCCCATTCTACCGCATTTTCAGCTTGAAGTTTCTCCAGCTAAATTTTTTTTACAATAAAGACACAGAAAAATATCTATTGAAGAACATTGTGTACAATAAGGTGTAGAAATTAGAAAGCAAATTGTATCTTATAATAAGTGTAGAACCATAATGGAAGAGTTTAATAGAATGCAAATATGTACTGTTATAAGTAAAATGAATCAAAACAGAATAAAAACAATGATTCAGTACAGTCAATATGATACAGATCACGTACTTCAGCTCTCAATTCACTCAAACGACGGTCCATGCCTTCTCCGTTTGTCATCGTTTCGTCCATTAAATCAGCCTGTGCGTCACTAAGCTCGATCTGGAAACGCTCTTTTAACTCCAATAATTCCCTCATTGCACCGGCCCTGCTCTCGTGTAATTCTTCGTACTGTTCCCTCAATTGTTTAACCTCAGCTTTCAATTTCTCCACAGTATGATGTAAAGAATTTTTCTCTCTAACAGAAAGAAAATAAAAATTCTATTGTGATCCAATATCTCACAGTAATCTTAAAAAATAAATATATTTAACAGCTATCATTAGATATATTCAATCAATATAAGAAGTTATATTTGTATATTAACTTGTGCAGACTTACTCTCTTTCTACAGAAATAGTTTTGGCTGCTTCCTCCAGTTTGAGTTGCAGTGCTGACATTTTTTGTCTTAAGGATTCCTCATTATACGCATTTGATGGCAATTTTTGTTTTTCTAGTGCATCTTTCATGGCACTATTGTCTGCGACTAGCTTTGTGATGTTTTTATCTAATGAATTATTCGAGCTTTCCTTGTATAATTCTACAGCATGCTTTGGCACCGCACCTTGCAGGACATACTCTTCGATAACTCTACCTGGCAAGATGTTATGACTGCTTGAAGCAACGTTCGGAGTTTCATGCGAATTTTTGCAGGATATTATATCCTTTTGAACACTTAACATATCACTAGGTTCAACATTATTATAAAACTCTAGATGTTCATCTAACCCAAAGGTGGTTCTCAGTTGTGGATCTGATTCTAAGATAGTAAAGATTTGTTGGTCAAAATGTCCAGCATGTTTCAAGAGTATCATGTGTATTTTTTCCATTTCTTTTCTCAGCTGCTCATTTTGCAGTTCCATTTCTTGAGATTCATGTTTGAAAGTATTAGCATCTTTCACTGCAATTTCTAACTTTGCTCTGAGAACTTTCACTTCTTCTCTAGCCATATTTCTTTCATTTCGAACTTTACTCCATTTTTCACGCCAGTTAGCAGTGCAATCTGACCACCAACGCATTGTCTTCTCCATCTGCGCTGCACGTGCTCTTGCCTCCTCCAGTTCTCTCTGTCGTAAGGCCTATTTATTGAAATATGATGTAAAATAAATATAGTACAACTAAAGTATGTCACTATGACATAATCATGGCACAAGTATAGTGCAACAAAAGACATGACTCGGAGGAATTACCTCTTTGGATTCCCATTCGCTGTCCACGTACCGCGACGTGGACGGTCCATCGTGTTCTCTCATATATCGTCGCGACGAGGTTCCGCTTGTTGTCGATTGTGCCATGGTGTGAACAGCACGTAACCTGCAATTCCGTTATTTCTGACACTTTCACGGTGATCCCTTCCAATATTATGCTGTGTCCGCTTGATGTTCTACAACGATTTATCGTCTATCACTAATTTCGACATCCTTCTCCCCATTGTATTCAATTGTGTTGCTTAAATATTGTCGAACTCGATCGAACAAATTCCACACATGCCATTGACAATACGATGGTGAGCCATATACGTCATATTTCACAAACACATCTATGCACAATGATTATTGGAAGGATGAGTAATGTTCGACATAGGAATCGATATCCGATTTCTCCTTTCTCGTTAAAGAACTGTCTGCTTAATATTTTTTAATTCAACGTAAATAAATGTTATTATTATTACATATTACTGTTTCACTTTGCTATTGAAAAATGAAAAGCTCATTTAGCCTCATTTTTAGAAAATAAAAAGTTCGTGCTTTCCATACGAGTTGTAATTTCAGTAAAAATAGTTATATAGTAAATTGGTTGCAAAAATATTTGACAACTTGGTCTCTAGCTTTCTATTTTTAAGTATCAGATTCATCCATTTTTTACTATGCAAAATAAGTGTAAATTAAATAAAGTTAAAAGTTAAATTTATGATGAAACTTGTTTTATGTTATATTATATAACATCTATCTAACATAAATAGTTCTTATAGCATTTGAAAATATACAATTTTTTCTTTAATTTACACCTAAAAATAGCAATGAGACGTTTTTTCTCCAAGTTATTTAAAATTAAAGCAAACATTTTGACTTTGATCATTTACAAAAGACAAAAAAATTAATATACGTTTTTTAAACAATTCATAGGAAGCGTCGACTTCTTTTATAATAAATATTAAATTTTTTATATAGATAAATTTCTTCTACAATACAAAAACTCAACTAAACCATCGTGATAATATAAAAACTGACAGTCCTGGGGAGATTTTCGTATTGGCTAAGGAGGCCCTGAGGGGCCCGGAGGTAATTAAAGAGCGATGATAATACCACATAATTTTGCTATGCTGAAGATATCACGAATTACCCAATACTATACTTCGATAACCATCGCGATATAGATTATTAACGATATAAAAATATCGTATAAATATATCGTTACTATAAGTGCCTGAAAAAATTGTTTACTTTTTTCCGAACACGGAGCACTGAGTTTCAAATACTTCCGGTGGTTGTAGGAAGACATTTTCATATCGGTCAGGTGACATTTTCTTAACGAATATGATGATAATGACATAGTTCAAAAAATATATTTTATAGCTTAAGTTTTATTTTTTAATCATATCAAGAATAGCAAGTTATAGCTTGATAAATTTTACGTATATTCCATCCGAAAAGTGATAATTTAATTTTATAAACAGAATAATATTTCTGATCTATCGTTAAGTTGCATTATTTGTATTGTAAAATGATCTACCTCTGCTGTTAAATAAAAATAAAAATTATTCTGACTTGTCGTTAAGTTGTACTACTTATCGATTCTTCTTTGGATAGTGGCGGCTCGTAGTGGAAGCTTCGAAACTTATAATAAATAACGGGTCTATCTAATGAATAGCTAAAATTTGATTTCAACAATTAGACCCGCTATTTTTTATTAGTTTCGAGGTCTCCTCTTAGCACACACGCGAGAAATAATTTACTGTTAGTAAAGTTTTTAATTTATTTTAAAATACTTTAAAGATATTTCTTTAATATAAAAATCATTCGTTTATCGTCGCTTTCTACCACCAACTTTTGAATGTAAATCGCGTTTGCCTTTCCCTGCTTTTGGCTTTTTAGCATTTTTAGCACGTTTTGGTACACCAGATTTTTTCTTCTTGCGTCCTATTGTATCCTGCTTTATCCTATAATATAAATATATTAATAAATATTGAATATCATGTTAATATAGGATAGCCATGCAAATAAAAACTTACTCTGTAGTTCCCACTAAATAATCATCACGGAGAATTTTTGTCTTGCTCTTCAAAACATTATCTATCAATCCTTTATTTTGACGTTTCTCTTCAACAGCATTTAATGGAGGGAGTTTTCGTTTCTTTTTCATTCCTGGTACTTCCTTAGCGATTCCTTTCGCATCTTTCTCTTTTGGTAATCTACAGAAAAATAGCAAATTGCACATAGTTTTATTTGGTAAAAATATTAAACAATATAAGTGATAACATAAGTGAAAACATAAGAAATATACTTAGGTTGGAATTTTCCCACAGATGCTGTTGATGTACGTGCAATGGTTAGAGCTTCAGAGAGTTGTTGAGAGTTTGGCAAGTATTCTCTGGTAGGAAGACCAACTTTTGGTAACTTTATGTTTTTAGACTTAGCTATGTTACGAAGTCTCTGCAATTCATTTTTTGACTGTCTTTCCTGCTTAGCTTCTTTAGCCTTAGCAAATGAATTATCATTTGCATCAGCACCAGACTTGATTTCTACCAACCACTCCTTCTGTTCCTCAGCTTTTACTCGTTTATAACCATATGTAGGAATCCATTTCTTAAAACAGGAAAAAGAAATTAATCAAATTTCATTATATTATTCTATATATGTAAATTAGCTATTACATAACATAATCTAGCTATTTAACTATTAAATATGACAAGGTGATGTCAAATATAGACATTACCTTTAATTCCTCATCCCATTTCAGTTTAGATTTACCCTTCTTCTTGGTTTGTATTCCCTTTTCCTTAGCAAACTGCTGCCACTTTGTTAGAGGTTTGGGCTTTGGAATAGCACGCGCACGTGGTAGTGTGTATTCAGGTTTAGGTAATTTAACCACTACAACACCATCCACTCGTTCTCTTGGTAGTTCCCAAACTTTATTAATCAATAATTGTACATCATTTCTTATCAAATTTTTTAAATAATCTGGTTCTGATCTATATATAAAACAACATTAATATACTAATCAGTTATAAATTTATAGAATTAGTATAAGTCAATCAAACAAAGTAAAATTGAGATTAAATTACTTGAGAGCTTTTTCGTCCAAAGGATTATAATCGGATACAAGTAGAGTTCCCAAGTCAAGCTCCATGTTCGGAAATGCACCCGATCCTGCGTGGCGAGCGGTCTGGGTTTCTGGCGCCGCAGTGCTGTCAGGTGCAATATATTGCGACGTTACAGCGCATGCGTGAGAGACGTACTCCCTGTTTGAGTGAAAGTCTCAGTATCGTATCTTTTTTAAGGTATTATAGCACTCATATTATACTATGCATTGAGAATTGCAATCGAGTAAATTAGATAATCTAAATCGTGGTTATTTTAATTGATTTGATAGTAATTCTCAATCTATAATCTAATATGAGTCTAATACAAATATTATGTAACAGTTACATAGTTGAGTGAAAAATTATAATGTTAATGTAACGTAATTGTTACTTAGTATCCACTGGAATTATAATGTTAATGTAACTGATATTTAGTATCCACTGAACAATATAATATAAGATAAGGCACTCGCGCAAGAAACACGGGAAAACTACACTGGAGCCTGGAAGACAGCTGATCGAATAGCGCGGGCCCCTTCATGGACCCTGCGATGCGCTTTATTGCCGTCATTGGCATAGAGCTTACGTTATCTCACGCATGCGCTGTAGCGTCGCAATATATTGCACCTGACAGCACTGCGGTACTGTCGTTCTCGCAGTCGGCGAGGTGCCCGGCATCTCGTAGGCAAGTGTGTGGCTTTACTGCCGGCCGCCCGCGCCTGACAAGTTCCAGCCATGGCCGACTCCGCAACCCGCGGGCAAGAATCCGCCGGCCGGGTATATCACCCAGCGCAACGGCCGGTGCAACGCCTTCGCTATGGCCCAACGCCGATTGTGGCAATCCCTGGTGTCTGGTCTGTGCGACTTGTAGCGCCCGTCTTTACCGACGTTCTCTCTAGGCGTTCCTAGAGCAGTTTTCGTGCACAGTCGAGATTCAAACCAACGCACTGTACATTCTGCTGAGTTGACTGCGGTGCTAACAGAGAGGAAGCTGAGAGCGGCCAACACGGTGTTTTCGGCGACACCGATTTTTTGCACTGGGAATGGGCGCTATCTGCATCCATTTTGAGAGGGGAACTACGATGCTACATCCACTTTTAGGTCTCGACGGTAAAACCTGCATCTGGTGGCTGTCCGTGTTACATCCACTTTCAGGCGGTTTATGTCCGTGCTACAACCATAATAGCGTACTTGACAAGCACGGTCTCGCGCATTGTTATGCATTTGTAATATGAATTAACATGTTAACATGCACAAAAAAAATAAGAATTGAGATTGTATATGATTAATATCATGAAGATTATATACGATTTATATCGATATATAAATATATGATAATAAGATAATATTTTGTGTGTACCCAAAATTATTTTTCCAAAATATTTCAGCGTTACATTAGTATTTATTTATACTCTAGCAGGCGTTTTTTAGCGCAGTTGTGTCCGTGTGTATGTGTTGTATTGAAAGTGTGCGTGACGTACGTATGCATATACGCACTCACACACACACACGTGTCATACGCAACAGATAGAATCTCAGGGTATATGCTTAAACATTTTCAATTGCCGTACGTTTCTATGTAAGAATGTAGTCGGCACACACACACACAGAGAAACTGCTCCCGTCTATCCGTCTGAAGTCCCGCCCACCGTTCGGCTTGTTTTGACGAGCCAAGCGAAAGAGAGAGAGAGAGGGAATGTGTTCGCTCCATCTCGCTCTGATTCGCAACGTTGCCGAGATTGTGCTTCCCGATACACGGCCGAGACTGACGTTTCACTCTCGGCGTGAATCCAACGAGATGATCAATAGCAATCGATTTCGACTAAACTCGTTGTGTCGATAGATTTGCATGACTAATTAACATTGCACTTAAAGATACGGCGTAGCATTGAAGCGTTTGCAAGAAAGTCGCGATTAAAAATCGCGAGTGCTTCATGAACCAAATGAAGGAGCGAGATTATCAAAGAGCGTGTGGCTTGGTGGAAGTACGCTGGATTCGCGGGGTTGAGGTCGGTGGTTCGCATCTCCTTAGCCGTCGGCGTTGTCCTTTTTCGCCAATCATTTTTTTTTTCGTTTTTTAGGAAAATGCACGTGTTGTATACAACATACGTGTATCACAATAAATTTTTTTTCATTCTTTAAGAAAATGCACGTATTGCATACAACACACGGGCATCGCAAGCATTGCACGTTTCGTCGATGACACTTCCTCTGAGACCCCGCCCTCCGCTCGACTTGTTTCCACGAGCCAAGCAAAAGAGAGACAGAGAATGTGTTCGCTCCATCACCTCTGTGAAGATGGCTCTGTGAAGATTCATTCTTCAAATTTGAAAAAAATTATTAGAGTTCTGAATGCCCCTCGCAGAGTTTTAGAGTTCGCAATCCTTTATAGAAAGAGTTCCGTCATTTAAAGTAGAGAAAATACCATTTTAAAAATCGGAGGGCCAACTTCACGACGCCCCTCATTATGTAAAAAATGACAATTTTGTTAGAGTTCTAGATAGATTTTTAAGTTCTATAGTTCTAGATAAGTTTTAAAAATAGTTCTGTTTAAAACAACAAGAAAAATTATATTTAAAATTCTCGAATTAGAAAACGAAAAATGGCAAGAACTCTACCAATTTTGGTTTTCGCGCTCCGAGTGTTAATAATAATCTTCAGAGTTCATGAGGAGCTAACCAGAAGTCTGAATGGAACGTCGGATTTCCGAACAAATCTTTCGATCCGAGTAACATGGAAATATTCGACTCGAGGGACAAAAATCGGCGACAACTCTTTCAATTTTGGTTTTAGCGTTCCGAGTGTTAATAATAATCTTTAGAACTCGTGAGGGGCTAACCAGAACTCTAAATAAAACATCGGATTTTCAAAAAAATTGATTGTTTATTAAACACGTAAAATTTTTTTTCGGAAATCCAATGTATCATTCAGAGTTCTGGTTAGCCCCTCACGAGTTCTGAAGATTATTATTAACACTCGGAACGCTAAAACCAAAATTGAAAGAGTTGTCGCCGATTTTTGTCCCTCGAGTCGAATATTTCTATGTTACTCGGATCGAAAGATTTGTTCGGAAATCCGACGTTCCATTCAGACTTCTGGTTAGCTCCTCATGAACTCTGAAGATTATTATTAACACTCGGAGCGCGAAAACCAAAATTGAAAGAGTTCTCGCCGATTTTCGTACCACGAGTTGAATATTTCCATGTCCCTCAGCACGAAAATCGGTGAGAACTCTTTCAATTTTGGTTTTAGCGCTCCGAGTGTTAATAATTATCTTTAGAACTCGTGCGGGGCTAACCAGAACTCTGAATGAAATGTCGGATTTCCGAAAATAAATTACCTGACTGAGATGGGAGTCACAATGTATGGAAAAATGTAGCGTTTTTACAGTGAAATCCGGTGATCGAGGTGGAAAATCGATTGACCCATATTTGTCTATTCACGTATAGGGAAAAATATTATTATATTATCATTATTACATATTATTATCTCGACATGCAACATTTCTCCGTTGATATCTCCGCTTCTACTGGGAGTAGAGAGTCGCCATTTACGGCAAAATGTAGGGCTTTGAGAGGACTTTAATTTGGTGCCAGACTGAGGCCTGTATCTCTAACCGTATAGGAGATATCGAAGGTTAAAGTCTTCCAGCCTTTCTCCGTCGATATCGAGCCTTCCTCCGTCGATATCTCCGCTTCTACTGGGAGTAGAGAGTCGCCACTTACGACAAAATGTAGGGTTTTGAGAGGACTTTAATTTGGTGCCAGAACCAGGCCTGTATCTCTAACCGTTTAGGAGATATCGAAGTTTAAAGTTTTCCAGCCTTTCTCCGTCGATATCCAGCCTTCCTCCGTCGATATCTCCGCTTCTACTGGGAATAGAGAGTCGTCCATGTAGTCGAAAATGTAGGGTTTTGAAAGGACTTTAATTTGGTGCCAGAACCAGGCCTGTATCTCTAACCGATTAGGAGATATCGAAGTTTAAAGTTTTCCAACATTTCTGCGTTGATATCTCCGCTTCTACTGGGAGTAGAGAGTCGCCACTTACGGCAAAATGTAGCGTTTTGAGAGGACTTTAATTTGGTGCCAGAACCAGGCCTGTATCTCTAACCGTTTAGGAGATATCGAAGTTTAAAGTTTTCCAGCCTTTCTCCGTCGATATCCAGCCTTCCTCCGTCGATATCTCCGCTTCTACTGGGAGTAGAGAGTCGTCCATGTAGTCCAAAATGTAGGGTTTTGAAAGGGCTTTAATTTGGTACCTGTCCGAAGCCTGTATCTCTAACCGTTTAGGAGATATCGAAGGTTAAAGTTTTCCAACCTTTCTCCGTCGATATCTCCGCTTCTACTGGGAGTAGAGAGTCGTCCATGTAGTCCAAAATGTAGGATTTTGAAAGGGCTTTAATTTGGTACCTGTCCGAAGCCTGTATCTCTAACCGTTTAGGAGATATCGAAGGTTAAAGTTTTCCAACCTTTCTCCGTCGATATCCAGCCTTCATCCGTCGATATCTCAGCTTCTACTGGGAGTAGAGAGTCGTCCATGTAGTCCAAAATGTAGGGTTTTGAAAGGGCTTTAATTTGGTACTGTCCGAAGCCTGTATCTCTAACCGTTTAGGAGATATCGAAGGTTAAAGTTTTCCAACCTTTCTCCGTCGATATCCAGCCTTCATCCGTCGATATCTCCGCTTCTACTGGGAGTAGAGAGTCGTCCATGTAGTCCAAAATGTAGGTTTTGAAAGGGCTTTAATTTGGTACCTGTCCGAAGCCTGTATCTCTAACCGTTTAGGAGATATCGAAGGTTAAAGTTTTCCAACTTTCTCCGTCGATATCCAGCCTTCATCCGTCGATATCTCCGCTCCTACTGGGAGTAGAGAGTCGTCCATGTAGTCCAAAATGTAGGGTTTTGAAAGGGCTTTAATTTGGTACCAGTCCGAAGCCTGTATCTCTAACCGTTTAGGAGATATCGAAGGTTAAAGTTTTCCAACCTTTCTCCGTCGATATCCAGCCTTCATCCGTCGATATCTCCGCTTCTACTGGGAGTAGAGAGTCGTCCATGTAGTCCAAAATGTAGGGTTTTGAAAGGGCTTTAATTTGGTACCTGTCCGAAGCCTGTATCTCTAACCGTTTAGGAGATATCGAAGGTTAAAGTTTTCCAACC